CCCGTGCCTGCGTGGGGCCGAGCCCTGGCCCGGGGCAGAGCTGCGGAGCCAGACTGAGCTGTGAGCCTCTCCTTCCAGCCCTGTTCTGGCCAGTGTTAGAGGGTTTTGCGCACTGTCCGCCCTCGTCCCTAGTGCCAGATTATAATTTTTATTTATTATTATTAATTATTTTCTCAATTTGGCTCCCCCTCCCTCTTAATTTCACAAATAAATCCCTCTCCCTGCTCGATTCAGTTCTGCCTTTCCAGGGTGGGCGTGTGGTCCTGGCTGACTTCTGCCTGCCAATGTGTAAAAGATAACGATCCTCTTCTTGAGAGATTAAAATAAAAACATCTCTGTCTGGGTGTATTCTGTTTCCCGGGAAAGGGAAGAGGTGGTTATGTGTGTCCCAGGTGTCCCCTGAGGAGGAATTTACCAGCAGTTGGGAAGTGCTTGGGTAGAAAGCACAGGGGTTAGTTTGTTTTTAAAAGGGGTTACTTTGTTACCTGTAAGGAAAAATATTTCTCCTTTCTGTATCTTGCTGGCTTTTGGTATCCAAAGTTGTCGTATTTGTTGACTATTTTTTTTTCTCCCCAGAAGCAAGTTTTCTGTTTTCATTTGCAAATGTGATACAGAACATAGATTTAAAACAAAGCCCTGGCAAAGCCCTCTTCCTATAGAGACCTGTCTTATTTGAACAAATGTGGTGTGAGAGAAGAGGAGGCAGGGTTAGTAACCTCTGCCTTGTGTGGCTAATGTTACATGAGTCTTTATTTTCCTCTTCTAAAAAGATGGAAGACTGTTTGGCAAAAAAAATGGAGATCACTGTTTCGGAAGCCGAAAAACGGACTGGGAGAAATGCCGTGAACATGCAAGAAACATACACTGCTTACCTCATTGAGACAAGGTGGGTGATGAGAGCTCACTCTCAGGATATGTGGATGTGCCATTTGAAACAGGTTCTCTGTCCTTCCCCTCAGAAATATTAAGGTATAGTTGATGAGAGTATTTAGGGGTTTTTTTTATGATTTGTGATGTGATTATCAACCTACTCTGGAGGATATTTTCACATGAAAACTTGGCATCTGATCTCCAATTCAGTATTAATGCTGGTGTTGCGTAGCTGGGTACTGTAATTGTTCATTTGGAGCTAGCTGCAAAAACGTGTGCTTGGAAGGTGTTGCTTTAAGACGATGTCAACAACTGCTTGGTTATTTCTTAGACATGGGTTGGATAAATTTATATACATATGTATATGAGGTTGTGTGCGCAGCTTGTATGTGAGAGAGGTGGTGCATTGTGGTCTAAAGTAGTGGTTAGGCTTGCTTGAGATCCCAGGAAAACAAAGAAGTCTCATGACTAATGTCATGTGGTCAAAATTTACTGCTGTACTAATATTTAAAGTGTTTTGCTTGATCTGATCACCACATACTCCTTGTAGATGCTCTAAGTGTTAGGGTTAATTAGCTATTTCCTTCCTTCATACTAGCTTGAACTTTCACTGGAGAACTTGCTGCTTTCAGTCTTCTTGTGTTAACAAGATTAATAGCACAAGTGTGGTAAACATGCTTGGTATCACAAAGACAACTTGCAATTCTAAGTATCGAGTGGTGGACAAAGCTTTAAAATCTCTTCTAACTTATTGTTACTTCCCAAACAGTCACAGATGACTTCTATTATGCAGGATCATGTTACTCAGCTGAAGCAAGAATTTCAAAATTAGACTTTATTAGGAGTTTTGTGTGTGTGTCTCTCTCTCTCTTCTTTATATTAACAGTTTTAACCTTTGGGCCTTGCCTTGGGAATGATCTGCTGTACAGATAAAATCTGCTGAAACAAAGCAGTTGCATTTTGCAAAGGCTCTGAAGAGTTCAAATTGTAATACTATCACATAAGTCTGCTAGTTACTAGTTAAAAGGCTTCTTAGCTTGTTTAACTGATGAAGGAACACACCAGTCTGACTGCAGACTTATTAGGATACGCTTACTATATTTTTGCTACACTTTTACAATAAAATCCAAAATAGGCATACTGTATATTTTTCAAATATTGTAGGTCTTTGGCAGTTGCTCAGACGTTTTGAAAAAATACTTTTACAGTGTATTAACATTACAGACCACATCTTCTCACATAAATTATCTGATTTTTTTCTTAACAATATTTTTGAAGAAGAGAAGAAAACCAGAATCGTTGTTGTCTAACTGTGATGTGAAGTGTACTCTGGGGGCATCTTTATGCAGCTCCAGAGCATGCTGATGGCATCTCCTTTCCTAGTCATCCTTTCATTACTTTAGACTCACTCCTGCTGGTCTTTCCCAGAGGTTCTTTCGTAGCAGCAAAACTGTATTTTGCTGCCCAGGTTGCTTTCTTTCATTAAGATTTATTTTATTCTGTGGTCAGCAAATACCAAGACCAATTACGTGTTTGTCACAGAACTATTGAAAATGTGGGTTTGTCACATCTCTAATAAAATAGGTTCTCTATTCTTTTTGCTGAGAAGGCAAAATTTCTTGCATAAATATAATTGGTGTCTATTAAACGGGCTTCCTGCAGAGCCTGTAGCTGTAGGTGGGCTTCACAGCAATTTGTCTGTGGGTAATAGGATATTTTGTAGCTGAAGAATAAAACTCAGTTTATAGCAGTATAAAAGGAAGACCACTTAATAGTTGCGTTACTTTTATGAACTGGGGTTCCGCCATCTCTGCTATCTAGGATTTAATTTCAGTTTGAATTGAGGAATTGCATTTGGGTGAATAAGAGACCCAAGACGGATGCAATTACAACCCCTGTATATTTGTTACAGAACAGGAGCCGAGTACCTAAACTTTTAACACCTTAGTTTCACTAGTGCTGATGAAATTGCTTCCCAAATGCAAGTGGTGGTGTTGCTTCCTTTTTCTTTTCAAAATGAAAAGATTTATTACTATACTCACATCTTCATGTGACTTTTGTTGGCATTTTTTCTTTTTAAAGTGATATTATACCTTGATGTAGATCTGTTTCTTTGAGACAAAACAAACTCTACTGCTGTAGACTGCAAAGCCTCAGCAATTTCCAAGGGTTGTGCTTCCTGAAAGCGTCCCCTTTATTCTTGGTTTACACCTTTCTGCATTAGCTAGTTAGATTTTTGTGGTGAGCTATTTCCACCCAATTAGTTTGTAAGTCAGTTTGTTTCACAGCTTCCGTTAAACTATCCAGTTATTTAATAATAAATCAGTTTTTATGTTTGCCCTGTGAGAACAGGGGAACGCTTCCACCTCTTTGTGGGAAATGGCGTTAAAGCAAGTACAAATGCTTATCATTAAGATGTTTAGCTAAATATTCCTTCTTTATATGCAGGTCCTTAGTGTATCACTTGCTTTCCGTAAGGGAAGTTGCAAATGTCCAGGATGTCACTTAAATTCAGACTTGCTTGCTTGTTTGAAATTTAAGCAGCTGTGTCTTATACTGGAGTCTGCTTGAAACCACAAGAACTGAGATAGTATAAAACCCAGAATTGGACTCCTGGTCTAGTACCCTTTGATTTCATGACAGAGCTGGAAGCTAATCAGCATGCAGAGCACCTGTAAATGATCTGTGTTGATGGACTTACAATTAAAGTACATATAGGGATGCCTTTTTTTCTGGTTCTCCTTTAAAGTAATCAATTCCTCCTGCAATAGTAGGACATTTCCGTTTAGTTAACTTTGCTTCCATCCCTGCTGACTTTCAGATCTCTAGCCTGGTCCTCCTGGTTGTACATGATGACTAGAGTGTGGTTTTGGTTTTTTTTTTTTTAGTTGTGGCTTTAAGAAAAAGTAACACAACTTTGTGCAGCCTGGTAGCTGACTGCTTAATAGCAGGATCCCTGGTTTCCAGCCCTACCAGTCTTTACTTTCTTTTGAAGTAGTTTGACAGGGTGACTCAGTATACTTCCTTGTTACTCCTCCAGTATGGCTGGGGAAGTTGCTAATCTTATTTCTGCTTTCAATATTTGGAAAGTTTTTCATTAGTTAAATTGTGATATGAGTCATACCTGCTTCTCCCTTAAGACCTTAGATTGCCCATCCAAAGTGCAAGGACTCGCTAAAGAAAGTTTCGGTGAGAGAAATGAACTTGGGAATCGGTGGCCAGCCAGGTCACAGTTCAGTGGTAGCAATGCTGCACCATGGGACTTCAGGAGTTTTTTCCTTTGTTACGTTTTGTTTTAGTTCCCTTCTCAAAGTCTCCTCTTCCACGTTGGGCTAGATGAAGAGCCCAGGCATGTGTTTCCTGGATAGAGGCACAGAATGCGTGCCCGCAGAGGTATGTTGTCTTCTGATAAAACAAAAAAAAAAATGCAGATTTGCTTGTTGAGAGTCAGGAAGACTTGTCTGGTCCCTCCAAAGGAGGTGTTAGGAAAAAAGGAAGAAATTCTGAATTCAGCATGAGCTCTAAACAGGGCAGAGTCAGGAGGTGAAAGAAAATGAAGGAGTTGAAAATTTACTTTGGTGCTGATTTTTACTTAATTCATGCTATGAATCGTTAACCTGCCTAGTAGGTGTATATTTTAGTTAAATGCAGCAAACTGTTTAGGTGATAGTATTCCAAAAAATAAAAATAAATACTCTGGCTATGAAAATCTTCTGCCAAGAGAGTTACCTCTTTATCACACAGCTTGCCAGGAAACTTTTGGTGGCTTACAAAATACATAGCTGGTCTGTAATGATTGCTCTTCTGTCTGTTGAGAGGCCCGAGTACAGAGACCATTTCTGAATAGCGAAATGGAGAAGGTTGCCTCATCCTCTAGAATGGTTTTCCTCTGCGTAGAGGGTGAACCTTGTCCGCTGTAGGGGAGTGGAAGTGTCACTTCTCGTACGCGGGAAGGTCAAAGGCTGAAAGCAAAGTTACTGCTTCTGCAGCTGAAGAGGTGATTGCTTTTACAAGGAAATAAACTGATGCATTTCCTTCTCTTCTGATTTAATATTTTGCAGCCATTCCTCTTTTTATTACATTCAGAATTGTTTAATGGCTCATTGAAGATAATTAGTTTTAAATGGGAAATGGGAAGAGGTTAATTAGATGGACTGAAGTTTTCACATTGGCACTTTGAATTAAGGCAAATGAACGTGACTTTTGGAGTAATGTAATCTTCTGATTTTTTATGATAACATCAGTTATGAACGTAAAAGCTGAAGGTTTCAATTTTGCCTTTTAATTTTTTTCAGGCAGGTTAGTTCATTCAATGAATAACGTGCATTGTTAAAACTGTACTTAGAGGGGAAACATATGGTTTTCCTGCCTGAAGACTGTACAAGTATTATATTGTGTTTATAAAACCAAAACAAATTGAGAAGTTTGACTGAATGTCAACAAGTGATTATAATCTTAATTGAAACTGGTCTGCAGTACTTGCATTTAATGGTGGAGTTCATAATGTGGTCTAAAAAATTAGATGGTAATGAAGGTATTAAGTGTAATGAGTACCTTTGTGGATTTCTGCTTCCTTTCTGGACCGGGGTTCCTGGGGAGAAATGCTCTTGCAATTGGTGATATTTTATGGTCTCATATGTAACCAGGTGGAGACGTTTTTGATGTGATTTAAAAAAAAAGATTTCTCTCATCTTGCTTGCCTGTCCCAAATCCATCCATGCAGTTTCAAACTCTTATTACCTTGTTTAAAAAAGCCAGTGGTGTGGACACAGGCTCATAACCGAGGGCTGTGTGATACTTTCCCATCACAGCTTTGCAAAGAACTTTGCTGCTCCTCTCCTTTACCCAACTCTGCGGCGCTGTGCGCTCTAGAGAGCAGAGTCTGGCTGCTTTTACTTTATCAAAGACTGGGTGTGATGGAGAATCTTAAACTAGTATTAATAATTTCAAAACGTGCCTTAAATTTATTTCAGTGGGTTCATCTAAAAAGCATAGCTTCTTTGCTGAGCGCTACAC